AGAGAGAGACAGAGAGAGACAGAGAGAGAGACAGAGAGAGAGACAGAGAGAGACAGAGAGAGACAGAGAGACAGAGAGAGACAGAGAGACAGATACACAGACACAGGGAGAGAAACAGAGAAATCAGAACTAGATAGATGATAAAATTATGCACATATAGGACTCAGAATGCTTCCCCTAACCTATTCAGTGTTCTGCTTACCTATTTTACCTGCTTATTCTGAATAGGCATTATAGTTACATGGTTTGAAATTCCAAAAGCACAGTGAGTGTTCAGTGTAGCCTCCCTCTGCCCTGTCCTTGGTGTCACCTATATGGCTGTCTTTCTTCTGCACATGGTGGCCATAGTATGAAAGCTCACAAGATGCAGGAGATTCTAATCAGAGTAGTGTACGGCCTCAGATGACTCATCTTCTCTGAGCCTCAGTTACTGTGGTGATAAAATTCTTACCAAGTGAAAGCAGGGTATGAAAACACAGCATGAAAGATAACTAGACAGCCTAGTAAACCTGCCCAGGGCCTCACACATGCCAGGCAAATACTGTGCCACTGAGCTACACCCCAGCCTGCTTTATTTTTTGACAAGGTCTCCCTGAGTTGCACAGGGTGCTGAATTTGGGATCTTCCAGTCTCAGCCTCCTGAGGAGCTGGCATTACAGCTATGTGCCTCCCTGCCCACCTCTGTTAATTGGGTGGTTTGGACACAGATTTCCTGGTCTGTGTATATGACATTGCACTTTTCCTGGTCTGCAAAAGTGAAACTCAGTCTAAAAAGGTTAAAGCTGACTCTTGCCTGAATAGCCCCTGTTCAATACCTGAAGTCAAAACTTAAAGAGAAAAAACTTCAATTTTATTCAGTAGAAGCAAACATATGTATTAAAGCAACATGGATTAGCTGGGCCTGCTGGCTGGAATCTCTGCACTTAGCAGGCTGAGGGAGGAGGACTGCCGTGAGTTCAAGAGTACCCTGAGCTACATGGTAAGTTCAAGGTCAGACTGAATTACATGAGACCCTGTCTCAGTATACAGTATAAGACAAAAGCAATATAAAAATCAGTAAACCTGCCTCTAATACCAGGGAAGCTATAAATGGGCCGCACTGACATAAGACATCCTACCTCCTTGTAGTAGACACTCAGACACCCCAGTGCATAGACCAGGAAGAAGGCCTAAAAACAGAGCAACAAAAAACGTCGGTTAGAAATTGGCAGCATGCTGGAGAGACCACTGTACAGACCCAACTCTTCCTGTCAGACCTAAATTAATGTCCGTAAGGCCCCAGCAAGCCAGTTGTGTGGCCTGGTTGTCATGGAAGCTGTTCCTGTGGACTTCATCACATAACACATTCCCCCAGGGACAGCATATGAGAAGTTGGCCGAGGTGGGTAAAGTTGCTTTTAAGTGCAGCTAAAAAGGGCTTTCTGGTCAACGCGAGAAAGGTGCCTGATGTGGGTATCATCCAAAGCCACAGGGTGGTGGCCTGACCTGTTCAGGTCACAGGCTCCAGACACTGCAATGCAAGAGGCAGTGACTGAATGGGAGCTTCTAGTGAAAACAGTCACTTTTTATTTAATTTTGTTTTTGGTGCTGGGGAATAGAGCTGAGGACCTCAGGCAGGTGAAGCCCATGTGCTACTGCTGAGCTGCATCCCTAGCCCTGATACTTTTCTTTCAACATAAGAAGGGTTTTAGAAGACATGAGATCAAATTCATAATCAAGAACACGGGTTCTGTTTCTGAATTTTGGCTGCAGCTGATAGGTGCAGGGCAGGAAGGGCCTCTTGTGCAGAGCGCTGCCCCCTGCCCAGGTGTCCTGCGACCCTACTCTGCAGGGAGAAGAGGCCACATGCAAAGAGCCCAGGGCCCACAGGCCACCTTGCTGTGCTCAGGACGTGGCAGGCTTCACATGTGTTGTGTCCCCCAGCCAACCACAAGGCTACGAGTGGCTGCTCAGGACTTGTAATGTGGCTGGTGCAACTGAGAAACAGAATGTTGAATTGCATTCAACTTTAATTAAATTGGAACTGCCCACACATGGCTAGTGGCTGCTGTGTTTCATGGTAAACAGTCCCCATGTGAGATGTGGTGACACAGAAAACATGGCCAAACATACCTTCCCATGCTAGGGCTTGCACTGTGGCTGGCCTCGTTGCAAGGGAGTGCAGACTAGGACATAGGGCACAGAAACACAACACTGGCTGGGCATGGAGTCTGCCAGTCCCTTCTGGGACCTATGAGTGCCCAGGCCTTGGAGGAGAGGGCTGTGGGAGGGCACAGCCTTCAAAGTCAGAATGAACTTTCTGGGTGCAGCATAGACTTAAACTGGAAAGAGGGGGCTGAGCACAGCAGGCCCTGTGGGTCTGAGCAGTGGTACTCAAGAGCCAGGCATCCTAGGGAAGGGGGCTTAGCTGAGGTACAGCCACCACAGCGCAGAAAAGAAGTGTGCCGCCTAGGTGATGTGACTCAAGTGATGTGACGTGATAGTAGGAGACACTCAGATTCGCTCCCTTGTGAGCAGTCAGGCCCAACAGAGTTTCTCAAACTCTATCAGTGGACTAAAAACATCAAAGCTACAGTTCTTACTTATTTTGAAAACAAAGTCTCAGTGTGTTGACCAGGCTGGCCTTGAGATCCTCCTACCTCAGCTGAGCCACTTTGGTTATAGGCACGCAGCACTATGCCTGGTGGGTTATATACTTCATTTTTTTTTTTTTTAGGGGGGGGGGGGGGGGGTGGAACCCAGGGCCTGGCATGCATTGGGCAAGTGCTACACCACTGAGCAACATCCCCAGCCTCAGCTTGTGTACTTCAAGTGGGTGAAGGGATGTGTGAATTACATCTCTGAAGATCTGTCTGGTTTCTAAAAGCCAGTAAAAATAGAAATCCTATTCAGCTAATCTCAAAATTTAGCAAGAAGGAAACACTAAGACGAGTCCCTCTACTGCTCTGTGGAATGGCCCAGCACTCCTTCCTAGCACACACGCTTTCCTGCACTGTTGGGTGTCGAACCAGGTCTCTCACATGCCGGGCAACTGCTGGCCACTGAGCTTCCAGCCCCAACACAGAGCTGAGGGCTGAGGGGAAACGGAGGAGTGGAATTTAGGCAGCTTCTGAGGACACTGCCCGTGGGGCTTCCCATGCTTAACTGTAACACCCAGTGACTCTACCACAAAGAGATGCAGGGTGTAGTGGCTCTGTGTACAGAGAAGGCAGCGCTGCCCCTCTTGGAGCTGAAATAACATGATGGAAATGAATTCCTAAAGGAAAACATACCTCTTCCAGGCTGAGCTGCAGATACTCGAAGATCCTGTAGGGGTTTCTTCTGCATATTAATTTCTTTCTTTGCACCAACTGAAGATAGAGAAATACAATCAAACACAACAGAGTACACAGATGCACTACAAGCCACATGGAAGAGACTGCATCTAAAAATGAACACATTCTTTCTGGGTGTGTTCTGCGATGCCAGAACTTGGGAGGCTGAGGCTGGAGGATCGCCACAAATTGAAGGCCACAGAGCACAACTAAAGACATTCATGAAAGAGGACTTTCAGAACCCCTTCAGAAATGATGGGATCAGTGTGGTGAAAGCAATCTTTGGAGGGCAATGAGTAGCAATGTGTCTTTTTGTTTTTGGAGACAAGGTCTCACTACGTAGCCAGGCTGCCCTCAGACTTGCAGCAGTGCTCCTGCCTCAGCCTCCCATGTGTTGGGACGACAGGTGTAGACCACCACGCCCAGCACAACAGGTCTTTTTTTTAAAGAGAAAAAGAAATGTCAAAACAAGGTAACAGGAGAGTAACAATGGTTAATATATTGCATATTATTATCTTAGTTACTCAGAATACAAGATGTAGGCATTTAATTGTCCAAATAACATTAGCACAAACCTTTCTTTTCAATGAACTAAGAGAAATTAGTAGTATATCTTGAGTGTGTATATATTATAATATGTAAAAACACATATACTTTTGCTTTCCCTTCTTTCTTTTCTCCTTCCCCTTCCCAGTTTCTCATTCCTTCTGAACAGTTTCTTCCTGTTTCACTGAACCTACCGTACACTGTGCATCTTGTTTACTCCTTCAGCTTCTCACACTACGGAGGCAAGACAATGTTTACACACGCAAGTCTGGGTCACAATGTATCTTTCATAGTAATAAATGTTTTAAAAAATTTAAATATTCCCTGTGTTTGTCAGTCACATTTCAGGTTTAACTTATAAATTAGGTTCAGTAAGAGATTAACAATAACTAATAAAAAACAATTATAACAATATGTTGTGATAAAAATGAAACTCTTAAAAATGTGGTCTCTTTTAAGCAGTCAGGACAGATGACACTTCTGGGTGGCCCTGGGCAATGAAACCAGGAAAACAGAGTAGTGATGGGGACAGACCCGCCTCACTTTACCTCCTCTGGGGGGTCCTCCTCCTCGCTCCTGCTGCTCGCCTCCTCCACCAGCATGAACTCAGGGCCGGGCTCCTTCTCTCTGGTACAAAGGACGCTGGCTAGTGGGCTGCTGGCCACAGGCTGAAGGCCACACTGTGGGCTGAGTCCATCTGGTGCACAGCTGGGGGCCTGGGGAGCAGGTGTGGAGTCCTCTCCTGTGAACTCCCCAAAGCTGGCTGCAGCCAGTGGGTTAGGGCCAGAGCCCAGGCTGGGTTCTCCCATCTCCTCCGTGGTCCCAGAGGCTCCATCCATCCTAGGAGGTGCCCCTGTCCCCGCCACGAGCCCAGCCCCAAGTTGCCCCTCTGCATCACTCTCCCCATTGGGATGCTTGAGAGGCCTCGTGTACTCCTCGAGGACTCTGCGGATGGTGCTCTCGTCCTGGCCTTGTCTGCGCAGCAGATCTGCGGCCCATGCCAGACGACGCTGATACCTGTGGACAGAAAACGTGTCAGCTGCCAGAACTGAAGACAGCAGCTCAGAGACTGGCCGGGGCCCAAGGAAACACATGCAGCAGTCAGACTGACTGATAGGTTACAGCAAAGGTTTTGTTTTTTTATGGTACTGAGGACTGAACCCAGGCCCTTCACACTGGACAACATCCCCAACTTTTTTATTCTGAAACATCAGGGTGCTAAGCTGCCCAGGTTGGGCTTGATCCTGCAATTCTGCCTTGGCCTCCCCGAGTGCTGGTATTACAGGCATGCACCACCACATTTGGCAAAACTGATATAGTTTAAAACCAAGAAAGGCAGGTAAATATATAGAGAAAATAGCCCTCGTTTATCAGGATTCATTTTGTTTTGTTTTCAGGTTTGGAGATTACAGTGTTTTCTGACGCTTAATCCATAAAGACACTTTGTTTGGCAATGCAGAGCAAAATGAGATTTTTAACATATTTTTCACAGCATCTAATACCTCCTTCACTAGATACAAAAAGACATAATGACCCTTTTCCCCAGAATAACTTCCAGATGTATTTTAATGAGAAAATGCACAGGAAGCTCTTCAAACCTGAAGGCAACACCTGAATACTTTCCAAATTACAAAAATTGGCTCTTTCTCCCTTCACCCTTCTGCCTGTTCCTGCTGCTGTTACTGCCTGTGATCTTCAATAGATATAGCTACTTACTATTTACTTAGAGAAAGACTGACAGGAGTCCTGGGCTCTGCTGGCTCATGGCCTGAGGCTACTGTGCATGGGCAGGGGACCTGCAGGTGGCTGTCAGCACTGCAGGTGCAGATCACCCTGTGATGACATCTGTGATGTCATCTGCTCATGGGGCAGATGCCCCCGACATCTGCGTGCTGGTGACTGCTGTGATGTGCTCAATGCACACAATCTCCAGGGGAAACTGACTTTGTGTACTTAGGAGACCGGTGGGCTCTTCACCTTGACTCATCAGGATCCCCAATCGGTCCATACCCCATTATCGCACAAAAGTGTCCACACACACGGGAAACTGAATCTTAGTTCTTTTCTTTTTTTTCTCTCTTTTTGTTTCTTTTTTTCTGGTAGTAGGATTGAATCCAAGGCTTCTGCACTGAAAAATAACCCTAGAACTTTTAACAATTTTAATTCTTTGAGACAGGGTCTCACTAAGTCACTAAGGTGAACAGGCCAGGACTGCGTTTGTGTTTCTCTTAGCTCAGCCTCCCAGAGTGCTGAGATTATAGCATGTGCCGTCAGGTCTGGCTTGAATCTTAAAGACTAAAATCTAGATAGGAACTGTGGTGCCTGTCTGTAATCTCAGCGACTTGGGAGGTTGAGGCAGGAGGATCACAAGTTTGAGGCTAGCTTGGGCAACTTAGTGAGACCCGTCTCAAAATGACAGTGAGATCTGTCTCAAAATATGGGTATAGCTCAGTGCTGGACCACTTGGTGAGCCTCCGTGAGACCTGAAGTTCCCTCCCCAGAGCGCCCTCTACAATATGCAGAAGGCTCAACCCTGGCAAAGCTACTGCACTAGCTGAGCCGCAGTGACTCTGGGACCAAACTTGCTCTGTGTCCAGCCCTGACTCAGTCACCTACAAATGTGCGACAAGCAAATGATTTATTCTGTGTGTCAGTTGCCTCATCCAAGAAACGGTCAGTCCCCTACTCCTACCCCACAGGTCGGCGGGCAGAGAGGGACTGCCCACAAATAGCAGGTGGCTCCTGGCTGTGCCCGGCCATGCATGCATGTGCAGGAATGGGAACTTTCCCAGGAGACATTCAAAGACCCAGAGAGAACCTGCTTGTCATAACTGGAACCACAGCCTCAGCTCCTCGGCTTTCTGGGTCTATAAACCTCTAATAAGTGAATCAAAGGTTTTTATAAACATGGTTCTCTTTTGTGGGAAAGAGCCCACAACTTTCAATAAGTTTCTCTTTCATTTAGGGTGATGCTGGGCATGGAACCCAGGGTCTTGTGTACCAGGTGAGCACTCACCCTGAGCTGTCTCTTCAGCCTGCATCGATTTCCCTGGTTGAAAAATAAGAAAGAACCACCACACTGAGAGTTGGGGGCCAGGGTGTAGCTCAGCAGTAGAGAGCTTGTCCAGCACATATGAGACCCTAGGTTCTGAACGCAGCACCTCCTCCACCCTCAAAAATGAGAAACAAAAGGGGAAGGTAGGAGGGGCTCACTCTCAGGGCCCCACAGGTGCATCTCACAGACCAGAATTTGCTCTGTAGCCATAGCAGCTCATGTTACCTTCCTGTGCCACCTGCTGGCCATCGGCACCAGGCTGCCAGGCTCCACTGGTGTGTGCTGGAAGAGGAAGAACACTGGACAAGGTGTTACGAATGGAGTCTCATGTGGGGACAATGAGGCTGGGCTGACTGTGGGGTCACCACATGTGGGGCTGCAGAGGAGGAACAGCTGGTCCCTGTGCCCCAGAATGGTCACCTGTGCCAGGCATGTGAGGGACAAGAAACACAAGGCCAGAGTCATGGCCAGGGATGGAGGCAGGTGGGGACATTTGGGACCAAGTCTAGAAAACTCTCTCTGACCCCACAGAGCACAGAAGAAGGACAAACAGGCCTCTAGATGCCCGTCACTCCACGCTGATGCTTATTTCCAAAGGAGCACAGCTGGCAAAGTGTTCAGCTTAGGGCAATTCAAACAAAACCACAATGCATTCAAATAGAAGTTGATCCACATCCAGCTCAGACAGCATTTTCTTTTTTGGCACCAGGAATTGAACCCATGACCTTACACTTGCCAGGCAGGCGCTGTGTTGCTGAGCTCTATCCCCAGCCCTCAGCATTTTCAAGATGCATGTAATGCCGAAAAATAGAGACGGTAGACTTTTGAGAGGAAAGACCACTCACAGATCCTGTAACTGAAGCGTGACTTCGAGCTGCAGTTGAAGTTTGCTGTGACTTACCTCTCTGATGTGACAATGGGCATGTTGGTCTCCACATCTGTAATGGCAAAGGTGCTCTATTAGTTCCAGAGATGTTTCCCTTTAGAGGGAAAAACACCCACTAAAAATCAAGGAAGGAAAGAGAACTCAGGTCTCAAGGAAGGTGAGTGCTGACCAGTCAGCAATGGTGCAATGTCACTTCAGAACTATCATCCCCCCACTCAGAGATGGCCAGTGGCACTAGCACAGGGCCCGAGACCCCCAGTCTCCTGTGTCCCCAGAGAGGCTAGAGGTGTGCCAGGCAGCACCACGGGTCTGGGCATGGACCTGGGCTTCTGGCTCTGGCTACAGCTCTAGACATCAGGTGGGCTGCATCTCCTGTGAGTGCTTCCGGCTCACTGGAGGGTCTGCTCTTAGTCCTGCTCCCCTGCCTCTGAGAAACTACTTTCAAAGGGAGAAGAGGTCAGGCCTACATGCTACTCAATGTTTAAAGCCCACAAAAGGGTAGAGCCACCAAGGTCAGTGGATCTATGGGCAAGAAAGTCTGTGTTTGCTGGATTCGCTGTTGTCTTATTTTGGTTTGTTTTGAGAAGGGTCTCACTATGTACTTCAGGCTGGCCTTGAATACATGGAGAACCTCCTGCCTCAGCCTCCCAAATGCTGGGACTATAGGCAGGCACCACTACACCCAGTTTGGGTTACTGTTCAAAGCTGATAGATTTTGGGGTGGTTTATTAAGCAGCATTTTTCTGTCAGAGAAAATGGACAAAAACTCTGTCCTACAAAGATTGAGGAAATGTCTGTTTCAGTTACTCAAAAATAGTTTCTCCCTATGAAATTATGCAGCCCAACTTAACATGCTTGCTTGTGTGTCTCATTTTCATAAAAAAAAAATCTTGCTTTTTAAAATTTAACTTTATTTTGTAATTACTATGTTGTGCATTTATAAGACTGTAGAGTCAAACCTGTATGGTCTCACCGCTTTCCATTCTTTTTAAATGTATTTGCTATAGGATCTTGCTACGCAGCTGGGACTCGTAGTGATTCCCCTATTTTCGGCCTAGCCAGTGCTGGGATTACAAGCTAGTGACACCATGTCTGGTCTCTGTGGCTGGCTCAGTGTGCCTGGGGGCAGGGACACCACAGCTTGCAGGACTGGAGATTGAACCCTGGTCTCTGAGCTTGCCTAAGCAGACAGTCTGCTGAGCTATCTTGCCAGCACTTCCATTCTATTTCATTCCTTCTTATACACATTTTAAAATGATGGTTTAGCTGGGCATGGTGGTACACACCTGAAACCCCTGCCCTCTGGGAGACAGAGGTAGGAGGGCAGAAAGTTCTAGCCCAGCCTGGGCAACTTAGTGAGACTGTCTAAAAAACAAACAAACAAATAAACAAAAAAACAAAACAAAACTGTGGACAGCTGAGGATGTAGCTCACTGTAAAGGCAACCTGGGTCCAACCTCTGGTATTGAAAAAATTACGGTTTCTTCTTCGCACAACCGGGGATTGAACTCAGGCCCTTGAGCTTGCCAGGGAAGCACTTATTCCACTGAGCCATCTCCCCGGTCCCCCTGCCCCCCTCCTTTTTTTTTTTTTTTTTCTGCCAGTGCATCTTTAAGACACATTCCAGGAAGTTGGGGAGCAGGTTAAAAACAAAGCGTAAAGTGGGACAACTATACACCCACAGGCTCAAGGAAGTTGGACCTTCACTTCTGCAAAAGTTGAAGACCAAACATGAAGTACTAAACCTGTAATACTCAGAAGAAACAGGGCACAACATGCATGGGCTAGGCTTGGCAATAGTTCTTTAAAACTCCTTAGGCAAGCTTAGGCATGCATGCAGTTCAATTCCCGGCACCACAGAATCAGAGCAGGGCTTACACTTGCTAGCCAAATGTTCTGCACTGAGCTACATCCCAGCCCAGGATGAGTAGTATTTAAACAGCAAACAAGCGAACAATGGTTGGCAAAGATGCAGAGAAACAGGAACTCTTGTTCACCACTGATGGGAAGGTAAAATGGGGCTGACGTGTGTGCCCCAATGATGGCACACACGTGGCTGTGATCGCGGCACCTGGAAGGCTGAGAGTTTGAGGCCTGCCTGTCTCAAAAACAAAACAAAACAAAACAAAACAGAAAGTTGAAAGTTAAATTTAGATGCTGGGGTATAGCCCAGTAGTGGAGTTGCTTGCCTAGCATTCAAGAGTTCCTGGGTTCAATCTTTAGTACCACTACCACCACACACACACACAAAGTTAAAACAGAACCATATGACTTAGGAATTTCATTTCTCGGCATACATGCCAAAGAACTGAAAAGAGAGACTCAAACAGGTATCTGTAGGCCAGTGGCCACAATATTCACAATTGTCAAGATGTACAAACAATCTAAGTGTCCATCAGCAGGTGCACAGATAAACAAAAGGTAGTCTAACCACAAAGTGGAATATTAGTCATAAAAAGGAATGAAGTTCTGCTATGTGCCATGGCACAGGCAAACCTTAAAAACACTACGCTAAGCAGAAGCCAGACACAAAAGGGCAACACTGTATGAGTCCTCTCATCTATAAAATATGGAGAAGAGGGAAAGTGGAAAAAGGTTACCAGGAACTGAGGAGGCCAAGAATGGGGGGAAAGAAAGCAGAAAATGAGGCAGAGTTTTGTGGACATTGCTAGAGTCCCCTCTGGAGGGGCTGCACCACTGACTCCCACCAGCCACACATGGAAGTGCCTCCCAGAGACCCCCATGGTACCCCTCTAGACTCCTGCACTTTTTTGCTGAACTGGGAACTCATTTCAACAAAAAATATTTTAATAAAATGTTTTCAAAAACTTTTGGTAATTATATTGTAACCAGTCCCATCTTTTTGCTACTTTTCATGGTACCGGAAATGGAAATTTCCAAAATCCCTGTTACTCCTCTGCAGCTTTACTGAGAGGGAAAAGCCCAAAACGCTAGTCGCCTGAAAGGACTGAAGGGTGTGATCATTTACCTTTCCATTTAGCAGCCAGCTTAGGGTCTGACACTGAGAAGTTTGGACGGCTTCTTGAGAGAGTGCCTTTTCCAAAATAACCCTTCCGGGAAGAGAAGAAACAGTTAGTAGATGGTTAGACAAATCTCCCCGCTGCAGCACAATGAAATTGTTGGGGTCACCAGGGGCTCACCCCTCCTTTCATGGCTGTCCATGATTACTCATGATGATTTGTGCATCCTGTCACTCTGACCTTTGGGGAAGGGCAGGAAGTTTGCAGAGTGCCTGGCTGATCAACTCCTGTCTGGGCCTGACACAGAGGTCATGGGCAGCAGGGATTGAGGCTGTTGCTTGCCGGTGGCTGGGGAACACTGTGTACCTGAGGGGTGATGCTGCCCAGACCTTCTGCACCCCAGAATTGCAGTGTTCCTCCCTTGGGGCTGATTCCAGAAGCAACACATGGTACCCCACACTCTTCTGTGAGGCTTTGAGGATTGAACTTCACACTAAGCTCTGCCCATCCATCCCCCTTTTAAAATTCTTTGAGATAGGGTCTCACTAAGTTTCTCAGTCTGGACTCAGTCACATGGTTGTCGATCATCTTGGTACGTTTTGTCCTGAATTCCTTCTGAGGACGTAGGTCCTGACCGAATGGGATTGGCAAAGGAGACACATCGCTCTCATATACTCTTCTTTTTCTCTTTGGGGACGTGGAACATAGCTTCTGCCTCAGGAAATTGAGGTAATAATAAAAACCCTACCCCCCTCTACGTAGATGTAATAGCCAGAACGAGCAACGTGCATGGCACTCATAAAGACCTGCTTGAGACCCGGGACCACAGATGAAGGCCTCTCCACTGAGCCGCAGGGAGTCAGGAGTCTGTGCTCAGCACCAGAGGCAGGGCCACCCACTTCCCTATAGTCTCTGGCAAGGCTGCAGGAAAGACGACAGGAAGCTGCTCTCTGTGTGCCTCAGGCTGTGAGTGAGAGCACGGACCCTGTGTGACAGGTGTAGGAACTCTCCCTGTGGCAAAGGGACATCCTAACACTGGATTGTGGGGTCAGGGGCATAGTTTGGTGTCACAGTGCCAGGTCCTTGGTTTACTCCCCAGCACCACAAAAACCCAAAATATTAAAACTCGCTTGTTGTAGTAGTCAGATCCTCTCTAAATTTAAGAAAATCATTGAACTGTGCATGGACAGGGAATGAGCTTTATAGCTGTAAATCACACCTCAATCCAGCTGTTTTTTATTCTTATTTTATTTTATTTTTTGTATTTTAGGGAAAGGTCTACAGGGTGTTCAGGGTCTCACTACTAGATCGGACTCATAGTGGTCTGCCTGTTAACAGCCTCCCAAGAGCTGGGATTACAGGTGCATGGCCCTTCCAGCTGTTCTTTAAATGCCCCTGGTGATGAATGAACTTCTGGGGAAAGTGGTAAGTGGGCTACTGATCTCAACCCGAGCCCATCATAGCTAGAAAATGGTAAAAACCAGACCTTGTCCCCATCTAAGTTGCCCCTGGCCAGGAGAAAGTGGGAAAAGAACAAATGTTCAGAAGCCTCACCTGACCGGTCCAGGAGCAGGAACGGACCTGGCCGGTTCCACAGCACATCTCTGTAAGCAGGGCCTCTGCGCTGATTTTATAATCACTGCAGTGCGGGCTGGGGTACAGGCTCCCACGTTAGCCCACTACTCCCACAGCACGCGGTGTTGGGCACCTGATGCCCGCTGCACCCACACTCACTTTCCCATACAGCTGCTCCATGTCCGCCGGGCTCCTCACAATCACATGGTTGTCAATCATCTCGGCACGGAAAGTTCTGAATTCCTTCTGAGCACCTAGGTCCTGACCAAGTGGGATTGGCAGGGGAGACTCATAGCTCTCATATACTCTTCTTTTCCTCTTTGGGGCATGGAACACAGCTTCTGCCATCCCTCAAAGGCAAGAGCCCTTTAAAGAAATAGCTAGTAATACACTGATCATTGACGGTGAGTCTTGCAAAGCGCTGTGGTCTGTGAGGAAAACAGGATCTTTACGAAGCAGTTACCCAGAAGATGAGAGGCACAAAAATGTGCTCTTCAAGCAGGGTTGATCTCCGCCACTGTCTCTGGGGAGGCAGTTGGAGAATTTTCATGGACAGGGATCACAGACAGTGGCCGTGGATCCCTGCCTGCTGGGACTTTTGTCCCTGGCTTCACTCTGCCAACCACGTTTCCTGAAGACTTTCAGGGCTCCCTGTATTCACAGGACATAAGATGAAGCCAAGTCAGCAAACTAACTCTAATGAATAGTCTGTGTTCCTTAAAGGCCATGAATATATCAAAAACACTGTGTCTATCAGCTCTCAGGGTGAAACGCAGGGCCCTGTGCATGTAAGGCAAGTGCTCTATCACTGAGCTGCACCTCCAGCCCCCAGCTCCCAGTATTCTAAAGTAGTCAGCAAGGAACAACTGGTGAGGGCCAGTACCATGTAAGGGTCTAGGGGCATCACCCACACAAGCCTCTGCGAGCAGCTGGCTTTGACAGCATGGGCACCCACACTGGGACACCTTCACCACATTGTGTAATTTGGGGCACAAATTATGGAATCTCTTTGTGCTTGAGTTTCCTCAGCAGCAAAATAAGAAACAAACTAGACTATCCTACAGTTAAGACTCCTAAGAATACCGTATGCAAGGGGCTGCCACCTGTCCCTGACAGAGGGAGTAAAGCCCGGTGCCGTGGGCACTGCAGGATCCAACCACAATAGAGACCCTGACTCGGGGAGACTCCAGAGCAGACAAGGAACAGAAAGAAGCCTTGGTGTGAGGGACTGACTTAGCCCCCACTGCACACGGTGCACAGACACACTGGTGGGAGCTGAGTTAGGGCTTGATGTAAGCCAGGTGCTTGTGCAGGGCTTGGAGACTGCACAGAGCACTCCTGCAGCTCCACGGAGGCCGAGGGACAAATGGCACTGATCACCTGAGTGCCACCAGCTCTCTACACCACCAACCTCCAAGCCAGGGAACAGCAGGCCAGAAGCTATCAGAATGCAACCAAGCCAAAGCAGGAGGCAAATGGCTTCAACAGTTTAATGACCATTACAGATAAATGAAGCCAAATTTGATGCCCCCTCCTATTGTTCCAGAACGCAGGAGGTTGAAACAGGAGGATCAGTGCTAGCTCAGAGTCAGCCTGAGCTGAATAGTAAAACCCTGCCTCAAAAGAAAAGAAAAAAGAAAAGAAATTAAAGCCCTTAATATATGACAATACCATTATGTAGCTTCTCCAAGAAGTTGCTATGGAGCTGATTGAGGACACAGAAAAAGAGACCAAGGAAGAGTTAGAGAAAGTGATGAACTAATGGCAAAGTCACCCACAAAAACCAATGCAGAAAGGCTGGCGAGATAGCTCAGCAGACTAAGTATCTGCTTAGGCAAGCGCAGAGACCAGGGTTTGATCCCTGGCACCACATGCCACACTGGCCCTGCCCCCGCTGAGTTGACCTCTGAGACCAGGCATGGTGGCACATGCTTGTAATCCCAATGCTGGGGAGGCTGAATACAGGACGATCACTACGAGTCTGAGCTGCGTAGTGAGACCCTGTACCAAACACAGAAACAGAACAAAACAAAAACCAATGCAGAGCCAGCAGGTGAGAAGAGAACCAGTGTTCAGGTAGCAACACCAGAGGACAGCTGAGTTTCTACAGGGTTTTGGGGGAGGGCACACACCTTTATTTCTGTTTAGTATTTGACTTGCCTATATTGCATTTGGAATCTTATAAAAAGGAAAAAAAAAGTTTTATGGTCAACTTTAAGAAGTTCCAATTAAATTCTCTCATCTGATGAAAACATGAAGTTGAATTTTAATTTGGCTGGCTTTGTTTAGGGCTCCCCCTTTCAGACTGCTGTCAGACAGTACAAAAGTGGAGACTGGAGCTGCCACACCGACTTCCTGAGTCCAAAATCCTAGTAGTGAGCCATGGGACTCAGACATTCTAACACTGCTGGCTGCCATGACAACACCTCCACATCTACCAATCAGCTGCTATCTCCTGTACTTCAGTCTTGGTACCACACACTGTGCTGGTCCTGCAGTCACTGACTGGTAGTTAGCCGTAACAATTACAGTGGTATGTTAGTTCATCAACTTAATTCTTTGCAGGATTCTGGTCACAAACCAAACTGAACGAGAACTAAATCAAATTCAAAAGTCAGGTTCAACATTGATCTTATGGGAAGTTTGATGTGGGTCTCATCTAATCTGGTTTGTATCCAGAACTGTAGAGAGAATTAAGTTTGTGAACTGAGGCACCAGTGTATTCATGACTAGATGTCTCTGGCATACTCTATAGCATCTTAAATGTTCTCCATTTCTACAATTAAACTTTTTCTTGGTAAGCATGAACCACTTCTTTATAAAACTTGTTAGGGTTCTTCAGAAAATGGAACTGCAGAATGTATACAGTTGGCCACTTATATGTGCAGGCTCTGTATCCGGGGATTCAACAATGGGGAGACACTATGTAGAAAATGCACTAAATATGTAAGGACATTTTCCCCTTTTCCTTATTCACTAAACTTTATTCTGTAACAATATTTGCAGAGCATTCGTACCATCTTGGGTAAAAGGAATCTGAGATGACAGCACAGATTCAGGAAGATGAGGCTGTGTGCAGGAACTCTGCCATTCACACAGGGGCGTGAATACCCTCATACCTGGATATCGGGGCTAAGTCCCGAAACCAATGCACCCTCAGATCCTGAGGGACAACTATTCTCCAACCCACGTGTGTGTGAATCATCCTTGTTGCCCTGTGGCCTTGCGCACTCTGTGTAGGCTCTCTGAGCCCAGTTCTTCAAATTGGATGGTACTGGGAAGTTCTTGCAATGCCAAACATAGCTATCACGGACCCCACAAATCCACTCCTTGGTGGTTCACAGAAAAATCTCCGCATGAATGCTCACAGCTGGTATTACTTAGCTGTGCAACTGGCAAAAAGTGGATTCCATTTAGATATCACAGATGGGTTGATTACAGATGGGTGATCAACAAAACCTTGTCTACCAACACGATGGAACCTTACTTGGCCATGAAAAAGGTATCACCTCTGATACATTTTACAATGAAGGAACCTTGAAAGCATTACAGGGAGTGATGATTCCAGAGACAAAAGGCCACTGATGAAATCACTAATAGGAAACAGCAACAAGCAAATTGCTGGAAGGGGAGTTACTGTTAACAGACATGTGGTTTATTTTCGGACTAAAGAAAATATTCTAAAATTAGATTGTAGTGAAGGTGATAGCCATATAATTCTGTAAATCCTACTGAGTTGTACATTTTTTTTTTTTTTTTTGCGAACCAGGGATTGAACTCAGGCCCTTGTGCTTGTCAGGCAAGTATTTAATCTACTGAGCCATCTCCCCAGCTCCTGAATTGTACACTTTTAAAATGATAAGTTTTATGGAAATATATAGATCTTGAGATAATATAAAGCTATTATTTCAAACAATCCAGCAAGAGGAGAAGCTTCTGGGCTATGCACTGCAAGAATGGCTTCATACTATCTCAAAAAGTAAAAAATACCTGGGGATGTAGTCCAACGTGACAGCCCTGGGTCCAACCTCCACTACTGTAAATTAATTAATTAAAAAAAGAATGGCTTCATGGACACCAACATCAGCCTTCTGGAGATCTGAGGGAATTGTCTCACAAAGCAGTTCCCTTCCCAGGGGGAAAAACTCAACAGGGAAAGCTTCATGAAAGTGTTTCATGCTGAGTGTCGTGTTGTGTGCACATCTGTAATCCCAGCACTCAGGAGGCAGAGACAGGGGGATCGCTGCAACCTCTCTGTCAGCAGGGGCTACATAGTGAATTCAAAGCCAGACTATTTCAAGAAAAAGAAATGGAAGGGAGGAAGAGAGGATGGGAGGAAGGGAGAGGGTGAGGGACAGAGAGATTCGTTCCCTGCTGAAGTTGGAAGGCAAAGCAGAAGAGAAAGGCCTGCGCCTGATGGCCTCTGCATCTCCAGTGGGCATTCACGCGCCCCTTCCTCAGTGCAATGACAGCAGAAAAGCATGATGGGAGAGGGGAAACGCGAACAAAAAGAAAACTGCGCATCATTGGCAGGTATGATGGGCTCCAGACCAGGAGGGCCACAAGCGCTCAGATGACAGATGACGTCTAGCCTCATTTCACAGAGATCAAAGCGAGGCAGGGCGGGGTGGTTAGGCCTAAGGAAGCCACTGGGGAAAGGCTCGGCGGGTAGTCAGGGGTCTGAGCGCTGGGCGCGGGACTGAGGGTCTGGCTGTGGGCGCCGAGATGGCACCCTGGGCTCGCGCGTGCTCCACCGGCCCCCCTCCGAGCTGCACCCGGGCCCAGGAACCGAAGGCGACCAGGCACCCGTGCCTGTAGGGTCTGTCACTTTTTTGTGTCCCCAATGTGGGCCTGCCTGACAGCGAAGAGCTGGGGTTCACTGTCTACCGAGCTGCGCCTGCAGCCTGTCCCGCCGCAGACCCCTGAGGTCGCGCGGCCCTGGAGCCCACACGCCTCCCAGCTAAGGCAGCCACGTGTCCCTCCCGTCCCTCCGGGTCGGCGCCAGCCCGGGGAGACGCCGGGCCCTTCTCCGCCCGCCCCGGAGACTCGCGCCCAGTCTGCAAGCCTAAATCCAGGCCCTCTGGGCGCCACCGAGACCTCACCTGGTCTGGTCCACTCGCTCTCCGTTACCCGGCAACCCCGCTCGGGGGCGGACACCCGCCGAGCCGTCAAGTAGCGAGGCCGCAAAACCAGCCCAGCGCGCAGCCGCAGAGGCGCGGGTAGCCGGCGGGTGCTCCGGAGTGCGCCTGCGCGGGGCTGCAGGGCGGGCTAGGCTAGGGGCCTGGACCCCTAAGAGGTGGAAGGTGGAGGCGGTTCTTGGTTACTCCTTACGAGATTCGTTTTACACCTGAGACGCGTGTCCTGTGTTGCATAGTCACGTGGGGGAAGTCAGTACCTTTGGGGATGCCACCGCCCTTCTTAAAGAGGCACAGGCCTGGGGACCCGTGTGACCCGGGCCAAGGAACCCTCGGTGCCACGGCAGCGCTACGGGGAGCGTGCAAGGGCGTCCCCTTCCGAGACCCTGACCAGAACCGGGTGCCGGGCTTTGACCAGATCTGGGGCCCTACCACCACTGCCACTGGTTGTGTGCGTCACTGAGGGTCCCCTGGGACCCCAGAGCCTCACCTCTTGCGCAGAGGAGTGGGTGGCCAGGACTCTGAGGGTGACAGGAAGTGTGACAGCTCCTCCTACCTGCTCATTAGGGCATCCCTAGTGCGAAGGCCACAGACGCCTCTCCAGGTGGGCAGGAGGGAAGAGGTTTCCAGGGTGACGCGTGCAGGAGCCGCTCTGCAGCTGAGCCCAGTGCCAGAACTGCGGGCTGTTCCCGCTTCATTGCCCCCAGCCCTTTGCACCCCCTGTGCACAGGTGGTTCTGGCCAAAGCATTCTCCTGTCCTTTGCCGCTGTCATCTCTGGTTGTCCTTCAGGGGTCAGCTCAGAGCTCACCTGGGCAGTGACACCTGCGTGGGTGAGCGGCCTCTGCATTCTGCAGTATCTGGCTCAGCTTGCATTGTCCCAGTTTCCTGCTCTTAACTGTGTGAGCTCTTGGGAGAGCAAGATCACGGTGTGGCGTCCAGAGGGCGCTTAGCCCATGTGGGCCTTGACTGCTGTTCCAGGGGGCGCAGGCTTCAGACAGCAAAATCCAAGAGCTTCGCGGCGGGCTGGGGTGGGGTGGGGTGGGGCAGGGAGATAACTCGGTGGTTTAAGCGCCTCTCTGGGAAGCGCAAGTGGTACTAATCCCTGGTACCGCATGGTATGCTGGCCCCGCGCCAAGCCACTACGAGTCTGAGCTGTGTAGTGAGACCCTGTTCCAAATAAATATGTAAAAGATTAAAAAAAGAACAAGTATAACAAGGGAGGAGGCATTGTCAGGATTCACAGAATAGTGGTCTGGCTCTTGCTCTTCGCCCTTTTTCCTTGTGGGATTGAACCCAGGGCCTTCAAACTGAGCTACATCCCCAACATCTTTTTTAACTTTATTTAGAATCTTTTTTTTTTTTTTTTTTTTCTTCCGGAACTGAGGATTGAACTCAGACTCTTGTACTTGCCAGGGAAGCGCTTATTCTACTGAGCCATCTCCCCGGCCTTTTAACTTTATTTTGAGACAGAGTCTTTTTAAATTGCCCAGGTAGGAGTTCAAGTTTGGATCCTGCCTCAGCCTCATGAGCTGTGGAATTACTCGTGTGTTCACCACGCTCAACCTTAGTCTGTTTTTCATGCTTCAACCGAATCTGCAGGGCTGGGAGACGCGGTAAAGAGGGGTATTTAGCTTACCGTGCTGGAGATTTAAGGACACAGCATCCACATCCCTTGTTCCTATTACCTGGTGGGAGGTAAACTGCGAGGCAGAGAGCAGTTTAGGGGTTGGACTTGTCTGCTCTTAGAAGCCAAGCCCAATCCCACGGTTCCCTACCCGGGGCAGCGCCCCCTGCTGGCCTGACGACCCCATAAGACACCACCCTGTTGAGGTCCTGTTCCCCCGCCCTGGAGCCCTGAGGAGGCCACACAGAGCATACACAACCCACTGCGGTGGTGAGTGTGGATGGAGCGGCCGAGCCAATGCTGTGCACGGAGAGCCAACTTCGGAAGTACGGGCTGGGCGGCCCCGATCTGAAATGCTTGGGCCTGGAAACGTTTGGGATTTTGGAATCTTTGCAGATATTTTGGGAATGACAGCCCGGTCTACACATGAAATTCATTTCTTTCTTGCACACAGCTCTTCCATCCGCACAGCCAGAAATTTTGACAGTATTTTCTGCATTTTGACCTTGACCCATCACAGGAACCTCAAGTGTGAAATAGTCCTGCTGGGACGTCGTGTCAAGGCTGAAGTTTCTGATTTGGGGAACATTTGGGGTTTTTAGGTTAGAGTTCCTTAGCCCATACTGAGCTTGGAGCTAGAGGGCTCTCGGGTTGTTCATTCAGCTTCCTCATTTAATTGAACACAAGTAACTGGCAAAGTAACAGCAAGTCTGGATGGGGCTGAGATAGAGCTCATCCTCCTGCTGAATCTCAAGGAGTCACCTTGGGCCCTGACATCACAGAGGGGCCAGACTAAATGACAGTGAATAAAAGTTCTTCCTAAGACTTTCCCCTGTGTCTACATTGCAAACCTTTGGTTATGATCGCTTTCAAACATACAGGAAAGCAGGGAAAGTAGTCTTATATTATAAATCACTGCTTGCATGACCTTTGGTCTTGGGTATCTTGTTTCTTCTATTTCCCTACGGGAGCAGTTCAGTTTTGAGACAGGTACTCACTGTGTTGCCCAGGCTGCTCTCAATTTTTTGGGCTTAGGTGATTTCCTGCCTCAGCCTCCTGAGTAGCACAATCCACACTAGAGTACTTTTAAAGCAATCCCAACACCCAGGTGTGGGTCTGTAGCCTCCCAAGTACTGTAATCCCAGTACCTGGGAGGCTGAGGCAGGACAATTGACAATTCAAAGACCAGCCTGGACTGAGTAGTGTCTCACTAAAAAGCCTAAATAAGTCATTCTAAAAACATATATAACAAATGTCATAGAAAATTCCATGTAGCTCTTTGTGTATTTCTGGTAGGCAGGAGCCTAGCTTATTACATACGTATGTAGTGCATGTGCGCATGTGGCAGATCGGTGTAATGGATTTTCATTGTTTGAGACAGTCCTGCCCTAAAAGTTGGTGAATCACAGACTTAGCAAACATGGCCCCGCTGCTCCAGGGAAAACACAGGCTGGGTTCCTGGGCGCCTCTGATCATAGCATTTGCATCACCTGATCAGTGCAGCCTTGTTCTTCATGGTTCTAGTTAAAGACATCTTATATAATATCAATTGTTGATGCATGAACATGGAATTCCAGGCCAACAGCTCAGTGACTGTCTCCAAGGGTGGCTTATTTAACCCTCATCCTTCCTCTAGGGAGGTGCAAGCTCTGGGCAGCCCTCTTTTCTCAGCATGAGGGTCTTGGAAAATAGCTGAGTCACCAGCAAAAGACACTGTGGGTGGCCCAGATAGGAGCTCATGAAACACACTTGTTTATGTTCGCAATGAGACAAGAAGAGGGGTTTAAGCAGGTCGACCAGGGTTCTTGGCCAACCTGGCCTGAGTACGCAAAGGACTACAGCTGTGAGGCACTGGCTCTGAGGTCACACACACACACACACACACACACACACACACACCCCTTACAAAATCTGAAGGGGGGAAGGATGAAAGGTACCTTATATATCCAGTTATAATACTGAGATCTCTGAAGTAGACAGTGACACTTCATGCTGTTTGTCTGTGACAGGATGCACAGAACCACTGTAATATGCAGGATGCTTCAAGAAGTTGTTTGCCAGGCATGCTGGTACATGCCTATAATCCCAGCACTCAGGAGGCTGAGGCAGGAGGATCACTTAGAGTTCAAGGTCAGCCTGGGCTACATAGTGGGACTCTGTCTAAATAAATAAATAAATAAATAAATAAATAAATAAAGTTGTTCATTGGAAATCCAAGTTTACCTGAATGTTCTTTGCTTTTTTGTTCTTTGCAGAGCTGGGCGTGCAGGGCCTCTTGGGTAATACTGGAGGCCAGGGAGGCCCTAGACCTGGGATTCTTGGGCTTGGGTTCTCTTTAATCCATCATGCTGGACTCTGGAGAGGACCCCGCATTCCATGTGGAAATAGAAACATGACTTCCAGCTTGTGGGGGTGCAGGGCCTGGGAGCTTCTTGGAAAAGGTAGGCCATGAGCTAGCCTGGAAGATGAGGACATGAGGGGTGTTGATGGCCAAGACACTGGTCAAGTACAGGCAAGGCTGGGCTGTGAGGTCCTGCAGCAGGTTGGAGTGGTTTGGCGGGACAGGAGGTCAAGCCTGATACAGTCCTTTAGGTGGGGCTGGATCTGCAGGTGCTCAGTTCAGCTGGGCTCCTGGACTTTACCCTGCAGACAATGGGGAGCCACCTGCTTTTCTGAGTAAGGCCAGGTTGTTGCTCCACTGATCTCCCAAACCAGGCCAAGCCCTGCAGTGCCTGAGATAGGCCACCAGGGGGTGACATTTCAGCAGATTTAAGTGTCCAGGCTCCTGGACATGGCTTTTCAGACAGAAAAGGTGGGCAGGGTCTCCAGGAAGCACTTAGGTACCTGGGTGAGCATCCTAGACCAAAAATAAGGCCTGAGGGCTGCGAGCCAATGTGAGCTCAGGGACATCGCCCTGCTCAGCTGACTGCAGACACTAAGCCTAGGTTCCGACCCAGCTCCATAGAGCATGTGGGAAAGGGCAGAGAGGGTCACGCTGTCCTGGCTACGCCAGCATGGAAGCCACAACACAGAAGCCCTCCTGGCTGCTGCTTAGCCTCATTCACTGGCATGGAAACTGAGGTTCCAAGGGGACATGGGCCAGGCTGTGGGGCTGGAGGACACCATGTACTGAGGGGTGGGTCAGCAAACTCCCGTGCCCTCCTGGGCTGGGTGCCTTATCTGCACCCTACTGTGCTGTGGCCATGTCTGACTCCCTCCACAGGGCGCACTAACCAAGGAGCTGGGTCCCAGGCTGCTGGTTGTAGGTCAGTCTTCTGAAGAAACTTGGGCAAGTACTCCCAAAGAAGCACTTAGCAAGGGTTTTTTTTTTTTTTTTTAAATTTAATCAAATGCTGTTGGTTTTGTAATTCTTTTTTTTTTTTAATGGAAAAGAAAACAACCTAAATGTCCCTGTCTGAGGAATAGATAAATAGG